AAAATTCTGCAGCCAGTGGCTGCAACCTGGCCTTGTGTCATTAGGGAGAGGACTTGCCTTCATGCATATTTGAGCAGTATTGGTTTGTCTGTTATAGATTTATTTTTAACATTGTGTTTAATGTTGTTTGGAAAATTGTGAAAAGGAGAGCTTGTTCAGAGGCGGAGGGTGCGTGTCCGTGTCGCTGCACGCAAAATAAACTTTGGAAAGTACATTAGGACACTTTGGCACTAAATGCCACATTATTATAGTGAATTTTTTCCAATCTATTTGACTTGTAGTTTTAAAAGGCTGATGAAATGTGAAAAAGCTGGAATGAGGAAACCCAGAGACTCGGGCGAGGAATTGATTTCTGAATAGACGGTACTTAGGATGCTCTCTTTAATTCCCAAGGCCCGAGTCTCTACACAACAGTAATGTGATAAATGAAAGCTCTGAATGTTTACAAGCTAACAATTAGGCCTCATAAGCACCAAATACCATTTTAATTCTGTGCATTGAACCTTAGCTAAATACATTTCCAATTGGGAATGGATGGCAACGACTTCCTTTGCTGGCCTAGTAATTGTCAGCGTAATTGGTAGCAGCGAGTCTCTGCAGCAGGTTTGGATGGGAGGCAGCAGCTCTGTTAGCAGGTGATGGATTCATTGCTCAGAGTGGCTGCTGCGTGAGCTCCTGTGTGTCGGTATTTCCTTCATTCTGCTGCTGTCAGAGCATTTGGAGAACACAGGAGTCTTAGGCTGTGATGAAAACTTGCCCACCCCTAAATCCCGAGACTGTGGAAACAAGCCTAGGCAGCTTAGCTGCAAAATGAGGTGACTAGGAGAGATTTATCTTACTGCAAATACCAGGGCACGCCTGCAGCTACATCAGAGCCTTCCTCTCCAAGCTGAGGACGTGCCCTGGAAGTGCCTTTTTAGGACTGAAAGCAGAGGTGGAAGGAACCAACTCATTTAACTCGTTAAGCACATTATCTCTTTGGGATGTGGAAGCCTTCAAGCTGATACATCCTAGGAGACTGGGGGTAGGTAATAGATGATACCAGGTATGTGTCGTGTCATCTAAATCGAGGGAAAAGAGAAAAATGCTCCAGTCCTGGGCAAAACAGAGAAGGAATGGCTTTGCCAAGAGGAAAACACTGTGTGTGTCCATGCTAACTAGCTTCCCACACCTCCTTTTGCATTGCCACTGCAGTGCTGAAAGGAGGTTTTTTTTCTGGGCATGAGTGTTTTACACTTCATCTGCCACCAATTAAAAATAATAATAAAAATGGGAACGGTCTAATTGTGCTACCTTCTCACATTTCTCCCTTTGTAAGGCATGACCTCCTTGCAGCTGCAAATAGGTGAGCTGTCACCCTGGCAGCAAGTGCTTGGAAAGTGTCTGCCTTGCTGCTGGGCAGACGTGCAGCAGCTCTTGTAAATGCACAAAACACAGATGGTCCAGGTTACTTCTGATGGAGGCTAATGGGATGACTAAGGAGGTGCCAAAACTCTAATATACACATGGAGACATCTTAAACCAATTCCAGCACACCATTCCAGACTCTTCTGGCCCCAAATGAGCCTTCCTTCTCAGGACCCTAAGTCCCAAATGGAACCCCTTTCTCTTCGTGAAGTTCTTCCCCATAGCCTGAGTTTTCTACAGCTGTAAAACTGTACCTGTAAAGTCTGCATATTGTATTTACTCATTCCGACTTGAAATGAAAAATGTGTGCAGAGAGATCTAGGCACCATCATACTCTTTCAGGATCTTTTTTTCATGCTGTTCTAACCCATTTTGACGGGCAGAGGTTTCTGGCATATTTTCTCCTTTGAAAATATTGCATATTTGCCCAGCAAACCATTAAACCATGTCCCCAAGTGCCTCATCTACACATTTCTTGAACCCCTCCAAGGCTGGGGACTCCAGCACTGCCCTGAACAGCCTGGGCCAATGCCATAGAGAAACATAAATAAATCCCTTACAGCTGCTAATACCACCAAGTCAGAGGTGCCAAATTCAGTTTCATCTTCCTTAAATTTTGGAGCATTTGAGATCTGAGTCTGCCCTTATGTTTCAAACTGGTTTATATATGGGATTATTGATGTCATGGTAGAAGGAATTTGTTATTACACAATGCACCTTTAGCAATAACAAAGTTTTCTCTGCTCAAGGGAGAGACTAATGTCCCTTGTGCATTGTCTCAGCATATGGGCTAAAGATAACGCCTGTGACATTTTCAGTTTAACACTTGCATATTGTTTTAGGAGGAGATGTGGAGATGATTGTGCAGAGAGCACAATCAAAGCACATATCACCATTCCAGTGCAAACAGGACAGCCACAAACACGGACCAAAGCAGAGCACTTTAGCTCTGGCTCTTGCAAGGAGGTTCAGTTGAGATCCAAGCTGTGTGCTGATAGCTGCTTGGAAAAGCTTCAGCTGGCTTCTGCCAAACTCCTACAATACAGTCCTGAATTCATCTCTTTCTTTTTTTTTTTTTTTTCCTTCCTTTTTTTTTTTTCCATTTCACAAGTGGCTGATGGATCACCAAGATCTTGGAGTGAAATGGCAAAGCTGCTCCCTCCTCCCTGTGTGGATAATGCCATGACTGATGGGCTGCCACGGTGAAGGCTAAATGCTTTCCTCTACCTTCCCACCTCCCCTTCTGATCAGTGGGCAAGAAAAGCCTCACATGATGGTGTCTCCAAATCCAAGGGCTGGAGAGACTTCAGTGAGCTCACCCACTTAGTCACTATACAATGAATATTAAACTTGGGGAAAAATCACCTTTTCAGCCTGCCTTTCCTCACACTAAGTCACTGCCAGTCTATCAGCAAAGGCAACGTACCAGCACTGTGTACAAAGCTGGAAAAAAGAGAATGGATGAGGAGATGATTGATTTCATTTTCTGTACAGTGCAGAGCCAGGCCAGTGGCTGCACCTTGGTCTCTCATGGATTGCACTTTAAGAGTACTTTCTTTCTCTTTTCTTTTTCTTTTCTTTTCTTTTTCTTTCCTTTCCTTTCCTTTTCTTTTCTTTTCTTTTTTTTTTTCTTTTCTTTTCTTTTCTTTTCTTTTCTTTTCTTTTCTTTTCTTTTCTTTTCTTTTCTTTTCTTTTCTTTTCTTTTCTTTTCTTTTCTTTTCTTTTCTTTTCCCTCTCCTCTCTTTTTTGTTTGGTTTGGATTTTTTTTGTTATTAGATGGTGACTGTTTTATTCTCCAGCTCAGAGTATTCCTGAAGAGGAGGGGATCAAGACTTCCTCCACCATCTGCTTCCTCTGAGGTCTGATCAGCTGTATCCAGACCCTCTCTAACTTGTTTCTCACCTGTTCTTAAAAGCGTTGAGCAGTGGGGTTTCCAAAGCTCCATCTCTTCTTCTGGTTGGAGCAACAATGGGCCTGAAAAACGTCCTCCAGCTTCTGACCTGAATCTTCCTTGTTTCCGTTCAAGCTGATTGTTTTTTGTGACATTGTCAGTAGACATGACAAACAACTATATTCTAATGCTTTTCAGAATAACTGTTGTCAGGGTGGCATCTTCCCACTTCCTTGTTTCCCTTCTTCTAAAATAACTCTTTTTATTTGGCTTTGCCTCTTAGGTCATGTTTTCTAAGCTTGTTAGCCATCATGTACAATTCACATTACTATACCAGCCTGAGGAGTGGTTCCCTTCACTGGACACCATGCTACAGCAGAGACTTACCTCTTGCTAGTGCAGAATGAGTCCTCCCTGCTCACCCTGAAAAAAAAGTTTTAAAAAAAGCAAAGTTAACCTGCTCATTAACTTTGCATCTCCAAGTAATATGTTTTCTTGATATGATCTTTTTATATATAAAAAGGTTATATATATTTTTTATATTAAAAGGCTTGTATCTTCTGGTGATATAGAAATCATTTTTAAATTAATGGGCAGGACATGAAAGAAGTCAGACATTTATCACTGACTGCTTTTGCTGGATTTTTTCTACTGTTTCTCCCTAATTATTTAAATATCCCAGCAGCACTCCAGAGGCAAGCCAGGAGAGCTGCCTGCTGCTCTCCATTTCAGTCTACAGTAGCCTCACTGCAAAGGTCCCTTGCCAACCCTCTGCCCTTAGCCCAGTCTGTGGCCCAAGGGCATCCTTTTTGCAGTGCCACAAATGGGAGGCAGGATGGTGTGTTTGCTCTGTTGACTCAGGAGGCCTCTAGGTGCAGGTGTCTGCTTCTCCTTTTTATTGAAAAATAACCCCCCAGCTTGTTCACTGCTGTGGGACCCGCGTGTACGTAGCTTATTTCATCTGGGTCCTGGCGCACAGGTGCCCACATCACAGAAACTTTCCCAGATGGTGCTTCTATTGACTCACTCGTTGGAAAAGCCAAGGACACAGCAGGGGTGACAAGTGGACTGCTTTTTTACACTTTTAAATCAGTCCTTCCAGATGGTCCTAGGAACAGTAAAAGGGGTCTCAGCTGTGCTCAGAGCTCTACGCCGTGTCCACAAAGGACAGTTCTCCATCTGATGTGGCCAATGTGGCAGATCCTTGCTGCTAACTTAACATTAGCTTTTAAAATAAGATAATAATAAAAACAGAACCAAAAAAAGAGGGGAAAAAAACGTTGTTGAAAAGCTCAGGACACAACCAGACAAAACTGTTGGTGGCCTTCAGAAACTCCTAGTTCTGCTAGACAAAGTGCACAGGCCAGTGCTTTTCCTTAAGTCACAGTACACTGGGTGGGAAGTAAAGTCACTGTTGTAAGCAAGAAGCATAGTGCAGGTGATAAGTACCAAAAAAACACTGTCAAAATACAGGCGAATAATAATTTAGCCATTTTCTCTTCTTTGCTTGATTTTCTTCAGCTAAAAGCTGTGATTTTCTTCTCATGAAGCCAAAGAAGTCAAGACAGTCTGACAGAGACAATGTTGTTCTCTGGGAGAAATTTGGGTCAAGACTTCAAAAGCTGATCTCTGCTTTATGGGATGACTCCTGTATCCCACTCCTCTGTTGATGCTGTTGAGTTCACTCCATCCTCCCTTTCAGGTACGACAGCTTTGGCCGCCTGACCAACGTGACCTTCCCCACTGGCCAAGTGAGCAGCTTCCGCAGCGACACCGACAGCTCCGTGCACGTCCAGGTGGAAACCTCCAGCAAGGATGATGTTACAATAACAACTAATTTATCAGCATCGGGAGCCTTCTACACCCTGCTCCAAGGTGAGTTGGGCCACTGTCCCTGTCCCTCTCCCAGCCAAGCTGCACACAATGGATTCTCCATCAGAAATACAGCCATCATCTCAATAATCCCAGCATCAAAAATCACCTCAGTGCCCCAGAGAGCTCCCCACATGCTGGTACAGATGCACACTCACACCTACTTAGCTACATTCCCTAATGCTGCAGTTGCTCTGCAGCTATTTTCTGCTTCGTTCTCAGCTCATCCCCTTGCCGTGGAGTCCTCATGCAGCACAGTCCTCCATCATCATTACCATTATTGTTATAACAAAAAGGGTTGCATAAATCTAGCTGCACCTCCAGCCGACCCCTTTGCTTCATTCTCTTAATGGCTTCCAACTTAACAGTTACTTTCTTCCTAGAACAGGCTCCCAGCTGGTTGCTGGAGAGCTCTCTGATTCTTTGTTCACTGGCTCCTCAAACATTCACGAGGAATCATCCATAAAAATGACCATCCCTGTCCCCAAAAGGTCTGCACTTAAGATAAAGGACTGGTGTGGAGAGTCACAAAGGAGAAAGGAGTGGTGGGCAGCCAGGGTAGGACTGATGGGACTAGTTTTTGGCTGTTGGAAGTGAGCACAGTTCTGCCGGTGATGGTAGGGTGGAAGTGGAGGACTGATGAGGTGGAGGAAAAGGTGATGAAGTGGGAAAGGAAAGAGGAATAAATAGCAGGTGAGCACTGTGCTGACGTACTGGTAGTGAGAGAAGCTGTGTGCACAAACCATGCCAACCTGGATCTCCAAGATCTGAAGGCTGAAGCCTCCTTAGGGTCAGGAGGCGACATCACTCCTGTTCCATGGGGCTTGGAGAAAGTAAAAGGACCATCAGACTCTGCTTCCTTCACTCCCAGCTCTCATTCAGTCATGGTCTGTGCCTGATGGCTATGGGGTGTCAAACATGATTTCCCCTTGTGAGGAACAAAGTGCTCCAAGTGAGACCAATGTCTTCCAGCATCACACTTGTTCCCACACTCTGGGACACACATTTGCCTCCTGCTCCCTATAACAGCAAGCTTTCTTAAAAGAAAGTGCCTGCTCTGCCTGAACACAGCTTTTCCTGCCTTCAGAGAGGGTGGCTCTGGGATGGTGCCAGCTCCTTCAAGCTCCCCTCACTGTTCCTGTTAGGGAACACAATCACTTTCTTATTCTTTACTTCAGCTTGAAAAGCAGTTCCAACCTACCCTGCCCCATCCCATCCACTTCCATTAAGACATCTGGCAACTGCACAGACACGAGGTTGGCTTCACCTCAAGAGCCTAATTAAGCAATAGAGCCCACTGTTGGGGGCCCTTCAGTGGGATAATTGGCTGTGATGTGATTTATACACCCAGAGCTGAAGGCACAGTTACATAACAGTGCCATGGTCAATTATCTCATTGTCCTGTCCTCCAGCACAGGGGCACTCTTGATATTAAAGACATCCACTGTTACAAATAGCATAACCATCTTCAGAAGTACAAAATTGCAAAACTGCTTGAATCTGAAGAAATGCACTTATCTTAAGATGAAGATCTGGATAAGATCTGGATTAAGACCAGGTTGGATGGGGCCTTGTACAACTGGTCTAGTGGGAGGTGACCCTGCCTATGGCAGGGGTGTTGGAACTAGATAATCTTTAAGGTCCCTTCTAACCCAAACCTTCCTATGATTCTATGAGGTGGCCTCAATGTGCTGAGGATGGCTTTCTCACAAGAATTCAGGACCATGAATTCCCAAACTGAGGTGACTATTTATTCATGCCAGCACTGGTGAAACTGAAACAAGGGCCACTGACGTTGCCCAGGGATGTCTTGAGCACAGCTGAAATGTAAGTTGCCTTCCAAGTGCTTCTCCAGCGGATGGGGCTGGAGCCGTTCTCAAGGTCTGTGGGTGTCGTGCCTGCTCCGTTGTGGTTCAGGAAAATGCACATTGCAGATTCCCTCTGCATGACAGGTGCTTATGCATTGTCCTTCTGGACTCACAGCTCTGGCCAGCTTCCCAAAATCCTTAGTGAACCTTTCAGGAAACCTGGATCACACTATGAACAGGTGAGAACTGAGAAAGCATTTTCAGAAGGTTATGGATTCCTTTAGGGTGGATTTAGGAACTACTACAGCTAACAGGCACCTCAGCACCTCTGTAGGATTTTGTCCTCTAGACTAATGACAAAGTGAGCATCTTTTTGAGACCAAAACAGGGCAATTGTGCCCTACAGCTAAAGCAGCATAAAATGCAGCATCTAACAGCCCCTTGAGAAATATCTTCCAAAGCCAGAGAAGAGTCTTCTCTTGGGAAAATGCTGAAAGCAGAGGATTTATATTCCCCACACTGTACCACGCCGCTGGTGACAATCCACCATAACCCCTCTGTGGTGCCGATGTCACACAAAGAGAACATCACATGTCCAGTGAATTCCACAGAGACCTTCAGGCTTTCTCCTGCTTCCTGGTGAAGGATGAAGGGGAGAAGAATATATTAGTTGTGTAGAGGTATTTCACTGATTTGATTTAAAGCACATCTGCTGCCACTTTCTCACCAAACCATGCATCTAAGAACAACAGTGTGAAGCTGACTGTCCTCACCATTTGCAGAGTTAAGCGTGAAGTGGGTTTGATCCTGCTGGAGTCTGTGTCAAAAGACCATCAACTCAGTGGTACAGCTAAAATCTTTGGTGCTACACTGTGGATCACTGCTGTATGTTTATGGGGGCAAAATCCAGTGCCACTGCAGTTTCAGACCATCCTACTGTGTAGAGTAGGTTGAGTTATGGTCCTACTGAGATCAGTGTGGCAAGACTCCAGCTGGCTACAGCAGGAACAGGGTCACAATAAAAAAGACCAAGTGGTGTCCAGTTTCCTTTCCTAATTATACCAAACTGAGCTCTTTGCTGATCTTTTTCATCCAGACAAGAGATAAGAATTTTGCTGTGTTCTCACTTCATGCTGAACAACTAGTGAACAAAACCCAGTGTGCCTCAGAATGGAAAAACAATTGACATGTATTTTTAATGTTTTTTTTTATTCACTATTAGGTATTTGTGGCAGGCTGGGAGACAGAAATTGTAATGTTTTCCAGCTTTTGAGGAGCTTCAGTTAAGGCAGTCTTTGTATAATGTGGTTTAGAGCCATTCTGCTCTGAGTAACTTCCATGCTTTCTTACTCTTCATGAGCTCCTCTCTGCAGAGAGCAATGCCAGCTGGAGACTCAAAGGACAGGGTTTCAGCCTGCTTGGTTCCTGAAGGATGTGGAAGGGATATGGTTCTTCTCTTCCACTCCTCAACTCCCAAATTCTGGCCTCAAAATCTGCTGATCTGTCAGGATCTAGTGGAGGCCAGATGTGCAGAGACGTGTGGGAGCTTAGTGTCTCTTCTTTCTCTCCAGACGTAAGGACTTTGGTTGCCTCCTGAAAGCTTTCCCAAGTGAAAGGGTTTGGCTGTTGCTTGGGGAACTGTTTAGCATTAGCTTGTTGTGCAATTTCCTGTCACTTGTGAGATGGTGAATAAGCTGAGGAAAGTAGGTGGCCCCATTTTTTCATGTATTGTAGTGAAATTGGGATCTTTAGGATATAAAAGCGTGGAAAGTTCTTTTAAATCACAGCCAGGCTGTGATTTAAAACAAGCATCTGACCACGCAGTGTTTTAGAGGAAGAGGTTTGAGCCTGTGCCCTTTGCTAGGGTGTCACACGTCTCTTCCACTCATGCCTTTTTTAACCTGGGTGAGACTTTTCTGCAACAATGTGGGGTGCAGAACCTCATCAGAATGAAAAAGAGGTTGCCCATCTTTTCTTTCACTGATGGAACCAATGTTTTCCTCACTGTGTGTGGGACAGGTGAGTGAGAGAGTGTGTTTAGTATTTTATAGTTAATTTTATTAATATCTTTATCAATTATATGGATGAGGGGATCAAGTGCACCCTCAGTAAGTTCACAGGCAACACCAAATTCAGTGGGAGTGTTGATCTGCTTGAGGGTCAGGAGGCTCTGCAGAAGGATCTGGACAGGGTGGATGGATGGACCGAGCTCAATTGGATGAGGTTCAATGAAGCCAAGTGCCTGGTCCTGCACTTGGGTCACAGCAACCCCAGGCAATGCCACAGGCCTGGGGAGGAGTGGCTGGAAACTGCCTGGCAGAAAAAGACCTGGGGGTGTTGATGGACAGCTTTCTGAACATTAGCCAGCAGTGTGCCCAGGTGGCCAAGAAGGCCACCAGCATCCTGGCCTGGATCAGAACTGGTGTGGCCAGCATGAGCAGGGAGGTGGTTGCGCCACTGGTGCGACTGCACCTTGAGTCCTGTGTCCAGTTTTGGGCACCACAGGATAAGCAGGACATTGAGATGCTGGAGCAGGTCCAGAGAAGGGCAACGAAGCTGGTGAAGGGTCTGGGGAACATGGCTTCTGAGGAGCTGAGCGACTTAGGATTGTTCATCCTGGAGGAGGCTGAGGGGAGACCTCCCTGCTCTCTACAACTACGTGAATGGAGGTTGGAGTGAGGTGGGGTTTGGTCTCTTCTCCCAAGTAACCAGTGATAGGGTGAGAGGAAATGGACTCAAGTTGTGCCAGGGGAGGTTTTGATTGGCTATTAGGAAGAATCTCTTCATTGAAAGAGTGGTGAGGCCTTGGTGCAGGCTGCCCACGGCAGTGCTGGAGTCCCCAGCCCTGGAGGGGTGCAAAAAACATGTGGACATGTGGGTGTGGCACTTGGGGACATGGTTTAAAGGTCACGGTAGTGTTGGGTGATGGCTGGACTTGATGAGGTCTTTTCCAACCGCAGTGATTCTATGACTTGGTTAAAAGCATCAGAAATGCAGATGAAGGCTCAATAAGGGAGCCAGTGAAAGCTGGAGCTGTATCACTGGGGTGTGATCTGAAAAGATCTCTTCTGCCTTCAGACCAAGTCCGGAACAGCTACTACATCGGTGCTGACGGCTCGCTCAGGCTGATGCTCGCTAACGGCATGGAGGTGGCCCTGCAGACCGAGCCACACCTGCTGGCTGGCACCGTCAACCCCACGGTGGGGAAGAGGAATGTCACCCTGCCCATCGACAACGGCCTCAACCTGGTGGAGTGGAGGCAGAGGAAGGAGCAAGCGAGAGGACAGGTCACCGTCTTCGGACGTCGGCTGAGGGTAAGTGAGAAGCATGAGCAGTTTTGCACTCCCCATCTCATCAGTCCCCAGTCTCCTGACAGAAAGGGACAGGGCTCATTTGTCTTGCTGCAGTAGGGATGAGGCTGCAGGACAGAGAACTACCTGTTCATCCTCAGTGACACAACCTTTATGACTTGAGTATATCCTTCAGCCTCCCTAAGTGCTGACGTTCTCTTAGCCATCGCGGGCAGCATTGCTGATTTGCCTGCGAGTCCTCTGCATCACTGGGGACGTGTGACCTCCCATCAGACACTGCAGGTTTGACCAGCCTGTCAGGCTGTTGAAGCGAGCAAGGGACAATCATAGCTGTCAAATACTGCACCAATTAATACAGATATTTGCAAACTCTGCTGCTGGCATTAATAAACTTGAGCACTAAAAAGCTTTGTGAAGATAAGACAGTCTGGAAGGGTTGTTGTTCAGCCTGGAGAAGAGAAGGCTCTGAGGAGACCTTATTTCAGCCTTCCGATACTTAACAGGGGCCTACAGGGAAGGTGGAGAGGGACTCTTTGTCAGGGAGTGTGGTAATAGGATGGGATGGTTAACATGGTCAAGGGATGATGGTATTAAACTAAAAGAGGATAGATTTAGATGAGATGTTAGGAGGAAATTCTTCGCTGTGAAGATGGTGAGACACTGGAACAGGTCGCCCAGAGAAATTGTGGCTCCCCCATCCCTGGAAGCATTTGAGGTCATGTTGGGTGGCACTTTGAGCAGTCTTGTCTAATGGGAGGTGTCCCTGCCCATGGCAAAGGGGTTGGAACTAGGTGGTCTTTAAGATCCCTTGCAACCCAAACCATTCTATGATTCTGTGATCATTGTTCACTGGGCAGCCTCAGAAAAATCTGTAGATTCCTGAAACTTGCTAATCCGTTGAACCTGTTGAAGAGCTGGGCTCTCAGGACATCGCAATTGCCATTGTTCCTCAAGTGAAGTGCTGCCAACAGCTCCAGCCTGGTGGTGCTCCCTCCTCCAGGCGAGCAGGGGCCTCTCTGTGCTTGAGACCGACGTGTTTTAAAAACATTGTTCTGCACAATGAACCACAGGCTTGTCAGGGCTGTTAAAGATCTTGCCCAACAAGCCTGTAATTCCTCTGCTAACTGCTGGCAAGGCTGGTGACTTGTAAGAGCAAGTCCTGTGCAATCACCCTGTACCTTGCTGTTTTTTTCCCCCCAATTCCTGGGAAGCTGCTCAGCGCCTGACAGATTCAGACCCTCTGAGAAATAAGCTTAGTGCATTGCAATGCCACCACAGCACAAGGGCTGCAGCTATTTATTCACACTGAAGCCCTGCAGTAAATATTAATGCTCTGATTTCAGTATATGTGTTTTGCAGCCCTTGCTCTTCACCTCTCCCTGTTCCCTGCAGCGTGACCCCCGACACCTTACTGTGATGTCTCCTGTCTCTCCTAGCTCACACTTGTCAAGTATTGCTCTTCACTCTCCCCATCCCAGCCTCTGTTCTCTTCCCTTTGCATCAATAGCCTCATATTTTGTTATTAAGAGAAAAACTGCAAGTGGGAGTGAAAGCTGAAGCTGCTCCTTCAGCGAGAACTGTTGTCTAGCTGCAGATCCATTGCCATTACCCTTCTTGTTTGCTTTGTTTGGGGTTTTTTATTTTCTTTTAATAACCAACAAAATTACCAGACAGGTCTTTTACTGAAAGGAGAGAGCCTCCTCAAATCTGCAGCTGTGTCACAGCTATTTGATGTTCAAAGCAGTTGCTACTCATTTAGCTGCAGCTCAGCTGCCCCTGTCAGTTTTATCTTACAAAATTTTCACAGTGGATTCAAGCACTGAATGTGTCTTTGTTTTATATTGTACTGCAGTTGGAAAAACACTTGCAAAATGAGTTTTCAGGGTGGTTACTTGTGTCCCTATAAATCTGCCAGCATTTATTCACATTTTGAGCCTATCAGGGCCCTTCCAGTGAAGCAGAAGAACATCTGACACGGCTGAAGAATTCAGTTATGGCTCTGTTCAGGGGTTCAAAGTAGCTGAGGGTGTACAAGACATTTTAAGCTGCCTGCCTGTACCTGCATGGCAGCATCTGAACCCCTAAGACACAAACCTGCAAGGTGCTAATTGCCTCCCTGGGGATTGCCCAGTGTTTAACATATTCTCTGTGTCGTGTTCTCCCCTTCCCTCGTACCAGTAATTGCTGCTTTCCCTGGCAAGGGAGAAGCTTAGAGAAGTTCAGTTCAACATGGTTTTGTTCATTTTGGGAAATGTTATCATTTTCTGCCATATGTGAGTAAATCCCTATTTTCCCTCCCCCCTCACTGCTCACATGAGTCAGCAGCAAAGACATGGTGCTCTGTGGGGAAAGACCATGCCCAAAGGGGCTGCAGCATCACTCCCTGAAGCTTTGAGATGAGGGGAACAGGATCTGGTCACTGTAAAAGTGCGAGTTCCCCTAAAACCAACATCCTTTCTGGTGCCATCACATGGATCCACATTTGAAGAATCATGGCACTTCCTCCCATGGTTGCAGGGTGTTTTTGGGGACTGACGACTTGCTGCCATGAGCTCAACCAGCTCCCAGCATGATCAGGCCAGGGAAATAATACAATGCACATGTTTCTTTATTGCAGGGATAAGGCACAGGTCAGGGACCTTCTGCAGATATGGAGGGGAGGGGGCCAGTCCTGATGTCTTTTGCCCAGTCTCATCAATGGTGGCCTGGCTCTGCACTTGGCCAGGCAGCAGTAAAGCAGCACAAATGATTATAGCAGCCCCTTTCCCTTCCCCTACCTCACACACCCCATGGAAAGTTGGGATGCTCTGATCCACCCGCCCAGCAGTGAGATATCTCTGCAGATTGGCTGGCTACAAATTCAACCTATCACTAGCCAACAGCAACACAGAGCCCATCTGCAGTGAGAGCATTAGGTAAACTCTGCTCCAAGGAACAGAGCTCCTTCCTTTCCTTTTTTTTTCAACAAACTTGAGGTTTTCAATAAAGAGGGATGTAAAATAATCTCTGACAGCAGAGCAAATAGGACAGCCAAAAGAGAGGGAGCTGCTGGCGCAGCTCTTGTATTTATTTAACCATGGAAACTCCTGTTGTTGCTTTGTTTTTCGCAAGACCTTGGCACCAAGTTAATGGTGGCATCAAGACGTAGTGTCCCAGACGCTCCCCAGAACTGACAAGGCCAGAGAGGTCTCTTGGGATCTGCTGCTAACCATTCCTGGTGTGTCTAACAAGGACAGTCCGGCATCATCTCCACGATTTCTGCAAGATGTCGAGGTCTGGAGGTGTCCACCCCAATGGTTTTAGCAGTTCACAGGGGGAGTTGCTTTGTAGGCAGCTATTTATCACATGGATGTTGTTTGCTCCTGGAGAAGTATTGTTTGCCCTCCTTTGCTGAAGGTTGACAGAGTGTTTTCATAAGAAATCTTCCCTTTTTGCACTCTTGTCTCTCCCAGGGAGATCAATGCATGTTGTTTAATTATAATTTAAGCTAAAGGAGCTCTGTAGGAAGCATTGGAGAAATCAGAGATAGGAGCGTCTTGATGCTCTTGCTTTCCCAGAGCAAGCTGAGGGAACAAGTAAAGGACTGGAACATGAGTTTGGAGTTAAATTTAGTGTATCACACATTATAGAGGGGACATCAAACATGCTGTGAACTGTGGATTGAAATTGATCCTGTGCTGATTACAAGCCTCACCAAAAGCTCTGAGGGGCAAAAGCTTTTTGCAGAAGCCTTTCAGACCCCATTCCAGGATAAGGACTCCAGGATGTAGGATGACACCTTATTTAACTGCTCACCATAAAATACAGTTATTGGACTGAACCTGCAGTGCTTCTGCAGAAAATTCACTTCTGTTCAGCCTGGAGAAGAGAAGGGTCCAGGGAGACCTTATAACAGCCTTCCAGTACTGAAAGGGTGTCTACCAGAAACCTGGAGAGGGACTTTTTAGAAGGACTTGTAAAGGGTAGGGGGTAGGACAAGGGGTAGTGTCTTTAAACAGAAAGAGGGTAGATTCAGATTAGATGTAAGGAAGAAGTTCTTCACTGTGAGGGTGCTGAGGCACTAGAACGGGTTGTCCAGGGAAGTTGTGGCTGCCCTATCACTGGAAGTGTTGAAGACTAAGTCGGATGGGGCTTTGAGCAACCTGCTCTAGAGGGAGGTGTCCCTGCCCATGGCAGGGGGTTGGAACTAGGTGATCCTTAATGTTCCTTCCAACCCAAACCATCTTATGATTCTATGATTCAAGGTATGTCATTGAACAAGGATGAAGAAAACTCAGTCCCTGTTCAGAGGCTATCTGTCAGGGTAGGATTCACTTTTCCCATCACCTTGAGGGGTGGCTGTTGGCATTGCAGCAGTTCTCAGAGAGAAGAGGGATTATACTGAGAGAAATAAAGAAAACAAACCATAAAAAAGAAAAAAGGAAAAAAAAAAAAAAGGGAAAAAGAAAAAAGAGAGACTGGTTCCAACTAGTCCCACATAATTTGCTTGCAAGAGCATAGGGAGTGTGGAATGACTTGGGGCACCAGTCATGGGATGCAGAGATTTGGACTGAGCTTAAGAGCCATCCTGGGACATGTTTGGTCTTTCCAGCTCAGTGAAAGGCACTGCTGCTGGCACATGGATCAGGGAGGCCACTTCCAGCCTTGATTACCACCCAGCCCTGCCAGAGCTCTTTCCAGCTCTCTTGGCAGAGGCCAGCAGCAGAAACTGCAGCTGCCAGGCTGGAGCTGCTCTGTGAATAGATGGAAGGCAGAGATACTATTCCTTCCTGCTCTACTTTTGGTTTGTTTTTTTTTTTCCCCCAAGCAATTGCCACTTCTGTTTCTCTACTTATAGCAGCCAGCACCTATGAGATAGCAAATTGCTCTGTTGGTTACATGTCTGCATCTGTGCTTAGAGTTTTGATACCTTTTTAATTATTTCCCAGCTTGCCGGTTACATCGGGCTGTTGGCTGATTCCCTCTTACTCCCTGTGCCTACTTACGTTCTATTTTATACTCATTTAACTGCAGGATCATCTACCTTTGCACGATGCTTCTTTTCTCAAGTCATACTTGCCTTTTACCATTCTTATTCATAAGATGGAGATCATTTTTTGCACTTGCCTCCTCTTACATCATCTTCACACTTATATCATAGCATTGATGCCTTCTCTCTTGGCTGGCCATACACACCCTCAGCTCACTTTCACATTTTCTCAGCTGTGCTTTTGCCTCTTCCAAATTGAGTTCCTGAGATGCCTTCTTTTGAATTCTGATTTATGTCCCCTATGAGGGCAGGCTGAGAGACTTCAGGTTATTCAGCCTGAAGAAGAGAAGGCTGAAAGGAGACCTTGTTGCAGCCCTCCACTGCTTAAAGTGAGCCTAGAAGAAAGATGGGGTGGAACTCCTTATCAGGGAGCGTGTTGATAGGACAAGGGGTAACAGTTTTAAACTAAAAGAGGGTAGATATTAGGAAGAAATTCTTTACTGTGATGGTGGTGAGGCACTAGAACAGGTTGCCCAGAGAAGTAGTAGATGCCTCGTCGCTGGAAATGTTCAAGGCCAGGCTGGATGGAGCTTTGAGCAACCTGCTCTAGTGGGAGATGTCCCTGGTCATGGCAGAGGGCTTGGGACTAGATAACTTTTAAAGGTCCCTTCCAGCTCAAACCATCCTGTCATTCTATAATTATGATTTTACAGTGTCCCCATTCTCCAGGTTTCAGCACAGACCTCTGCTCACGCAGCACAAAAGCACTGCAGCAATCCTGTCCTTCTCTCTCCCATCCCTCCAAGGCTGAGGAGCCCCTTCTCTGTTGGCTCTATCACATCCTTTCTTTTGCTGTTTAGCTCTCAGATACTCCCGCATCCCTGAACATATAGGAGGAATTCAGTCACACGCCCTGAATTCATGGCCAAGTCCAAAACTGGAGCAGGGCTGAGAGCAGGTCTCAGGTCAGGAGTGTCAGCTTTACTCAGTGCAGGATGAGGCAGTGTGTTTAGCTTGCAGTCTGAAGGCCCTGCAGCTGAAGGGCTGCAAAGAAAACTGAAAACCAAGTCAGCTGTTTAGAGTTTGAAATTCATCTGAGAAGAATCTGCACCTTTCTAGAAAAGAGGAGTTCACCAGCTGAAACTGGTTCAGAACTGGCAGGATGGAGGAAGAGCTATCTTCACTGGCAAGCTCACATGGGCAATGTGGGTTTCTTGTCCTTGCTGGCTATTTTGATGGCTGTGAAGATGTTGCTTTGTAGATCTTGTACACGTGGCTTAACGTGAGTAGTGTTATCAGCTCCTTTCTGTGTTGCTGTGTGCTACAATTCCTGAATCAAAATGTAGTTCTGCTCCTACCTTTGAAGTAGATACCTTTGATCTTTGGAAATGCAGAGGCAGTGGAGGTAACAGGATTGTAATTATGCAGCACCGAATAACCCCAGGACAATGAAGGTAAAGCTCCAGCTCTCACAGAAAAGTTTCTGCTCTATGTAACATCTACAGTGGTCAGACACTCCATATTTTATCTCAGGAGAAAAGCATAACCTCCAGTGCTTGCATCATATCCAGTAAACTCAGAGAAAAACTCTCTTTTCCACTATGTTGACATGACATCCGTCTTTCTTTCTACAACTATTATTTTTTGATGTGTATGGAAGCAAAAGACCATATATCCCAGGTCTGATAGGCAGAGTACATCACAAATATTCCTTGCAACATGCTGTCATTACATCTTCTGTAGGTCTATAATCACATCTTCTGTAGCAGTCCTAAGCATAGGTTTGGGATATGGGCAATATTCTTTCACCATGGTGATGTTTCAAAAGCACCCAGTTTCTCTTCCTCTCTCCTCACTGAAGTCAACAGAAGCCATTTTAGGACAAATCTTTGCTTTGAAAATTGCCTCGAATCCCAAGGCAATGAACAGCTGGATACTCTCCAGAGTGGCCTGAAGAGGTGTTTGGTGAAACAAGGCTAGTCTTTGCAACTTAAACTGTTTCCAGCTTCCTAATTCTCCACCTCTTTCCTGTAGGTCCACAACAGAAACCTGCTGTCCCTCGACTTCGATCGTGTGACAAGGACAGAGAAAATCTACGATGACCACCGCAAGTTCACACTCCGCATCCTCTATGACCAGGCAGGGAGGCCCAGCCTCTGGTCACCCAGCAGCAGACTGAACGGGGTCAATGTCACCTACTCCCCAGGAGGACACATTGCAGGGATTCAGAGGGGCACGATGTCAGAAAGGATGGAGTATGATCAGTCTGGCAGAATTACATCCAGGATCTTTGCTGACGGCAAATCATGGAGCTACACTTACTTGGAGAAGGTAACAAACCTCTTGTTGCTCAGAGATGATGCACTGGGTGCAAATGGGCTTTACTCCTTTAAAGGACTTCAGTACAGCTGTGCTACTTCCTAGAGGTTTATGCTCCTCTTCTGCCTACACTGAGATGCACATAGTAACTTTGGTGCCAGATCACCAAAGAGCAGTTGAAAATAGCTTGAGAGTTTCTTTCCAGTCACACCAAGAGCATGCCTTAAAGCTGTGAAGCTTTGGCATTTGATTTTTTTAAGCACAACATTCCTCGGTCAAGCTAGCTGCAATATAAAATATCTTCAGGTAAAGTCAGAGGGGTGAACAGTAGAAATTTCCAAAGGGATTTTCCATGTGAAAACAACCCATACAGTCTGACATCCTGCCTTCTTCAAGTGGCTCATTCCTGCTTTGTAGGAAATTCAAGTCATTAAAAAGTGGGAGGCATGAATCCAGCCAGACTGCTGTAGCACACTTTACAGTGTTTACTGTAGTCTGTGCTCTGTAGGCTAGCATGGGACTTAAATTCTTCTGGGTGATACCATTAATCATTACCCTGCCTATTGTCCTATAGATCCATATGCTGCTTACCTGGGGCTGGAATATTTCTGAGTCTTGTATAGAGCCTATCCCTACAGCAGCTTAAGAAAACTACAGTAACATAGCTTTAAAAAAAAAAAAAAAAAAATTATTGACTTGTTCTTTGTATTATACAGTCTGTGTGGATTGTTTGTTACATGCAAAAAAAAAAAAAATCCCAGAACAAATAAGCACGCAGGCAGAAGTTTGCAGTAAGAGAGTAATAGAAGGTACGAAGACACGATGGATGAATTAATTGGGCATTGGAAGGTGTCAGGGGATACTTTTTCAAGCATTGTTTAAGTAGCTCTACCCATTTTATTTATTTAGTCTGTGAAAGCTATTGGCTCAGGGAATTTGGGTAGAGACAGCTAGCTACAGGGTATTGATTCAAACAATTGAGCATTCTGAACTTAGCCCTTCCTCCCTGCATTAACTGCTTCTTCCTCTGACCCACTCCTACTGGGGGACATCCCATGTGCCATGCAGCTGCAGACCTCTCACCATCTAATCCTACGGGTGCAGAGATTTATCTGCTCTTTGGATCAGAGAATCTTGCAGGTTGTGTTGAGAGCTGAGTATAACTTTGCCTGAAAACCAGGAATATAATCTATATTTTTCTTCTTCCCATCCAGTCCATGGTGCTGCTTCTTCACAGCCAGAGACAGTACATCTTTGAGTTTGACAAGAACGACCGGTTGTCATCGGTGACCATGCCCAACGTTGCCCGTCAGACTCTAGAAACCATTCGTTCCATTGGTTACTACAGGAACATCTACCGGCCACCAGAAGGCAACGCCTCAGTCATTCAGGACTTCACAGAGGATGAGCAGCTCCTCCACACTTTGTACTTGGGCACGGGGAGGCGTGTCATCTACAAGTATGGGAAGTTGTCCAAGTTAGCTGAGATGCTCTATGACACCACAAAGATCAGTTTCACGTATGACGAGACCGCTGGCATGCTGAAGACCATCAACTTGCAGAACGAAGGGTTCACGTGCACCATCAGGTACAGGCAGATAGGACCCCTCATTGACAGGCAGATTTTCCGTTTCACCGAGGAAGGCATGGTGAATGCACGCTTTGACTACAACTATGACAACAGCTTTCGGGTGACCAGCATGCAAGCCGTCATCAACGAGACACCTTTACCCATTGATCTCTACAGGTATGATGATGTGTCTGGCAAAACGGAGCAGTTTGGTAAATTCGGAGTCATTTACTACGATATCAACCAGATTATCACGACTGCTGTCATGACTCACACTAAACATTTTGATGCCTATGGCAGGATGAAGGAGGTCCAGTACGAGATATTCCGGTCTCTCATGTACTGGATGACTGTGCAGTATGACAACATGGGGAGAGTGGTCAAGAAAGAGCTGAAGGTTGGCCCTTATGCAAACACAACCAGGTACTCATACGAATATGATGCTGATGGCCAGTTGCAAACAGTGTCCATCAATGACAAACCACTCTGGCGTTACAGCTATGACCTCAACGGGAACCTCCATCTGTTGAGTCCTGGGAATAGTGCCCGCCTTACGCCGCTCAGGTACGACCTCAGGGACAGGATTACTAGACTGGGGGATGTGCAGTACAAAATGGATGAAGATGGCTTCCTGAAGCAAAGGGGCAATGATATTTTTGAGTACAATTCAGCTGGCCTTCTCATCAAAGCCTACAATAAAGCTAGTGGGTGGAGTGTGAAATACCGCTACGATGGCCTAGGAAGGAGAGTCTCTAGCAAGACCAGCCATGGCCATCACTTGCAGTTCTTCTACGCAGACCTGACCAACCCAACGAAGGTCACCCATTTATACAACCACTCAAGCTCCGAGATCACTTCCCTCTACTATGACCTCCAAGGCCACCTCTTTGCAATGGAGCTCAGCAGCGGTGACGAATTCTACATCGCCTGCGATAACATTGGCACTCCTCTGGCTGTCTTCAGTGGGACTGGCTTAATGATTAAGCAGATACTGTACACAGCATATGGGGAGATCTATATGGACACCAATCCCAACTTCCAGATCATCATTGGCTACCATGGAGGACTGTATGACCCCCTCACAAAGCTTATCCACATGGGACGGAGAGACTATGATGTGCTAGCGGGTCGGTGGACAAGTCCAGACCATGATATGTGGAAGCATATGAGTAGCAATAACATAATGCCTTTCAACCTGTATATGTTCAAAAACAACAATCCTATTAGCAACTCTCAGGATATCAAATGTTACATGACAGGTAAGATGTTTAAATTAATTAACATATTCACAAGCTTACCATCAGTGAATAGGTTTCTTGTCTCTCAGTATCTTGCTCACCATGAGGTTTTCCAGTGCTTAACGTAATGGACACAAGCTTTTCTTTGCCAGTTAACCTCCTACATCCAAGGCATGTTTAATTCATTAGCATAGATGGAGATCATAATTCTCAAATCTGTGTCCTTTTCTCCTCCTTAGTGTTTGTTCTCTTTATTTTGCTTCCAGTTTTTCCTTCCCTCAGATATCCCAAGTTTAGCTACCGATTAATGTCCTGATAACCTCTGTCTTTGTAGAGGGGCAGCTGTTTACACAGTTTTGCCTAGAGATTTATTTACAACTAAATAAATAACATGAAAATTTGTTTTAGCAGAATGGCAACAGCAACTTAAACATTTTATTGCAGTCAATCATTTCAGAAAACAGACCACAACCCAACTAGAACATAATCTGGCTACTGCCATAAAAGACAATAAAAAATGTTTCAATAGATACATTAACAACAAAAGAAGGGCTAAAGAGAACCTTCATCCTCAGCTGGATTGAGGGGGAACATAGTGGCAAAGGATGAGGAAAAAGCTGAGGTCCTTAATACCTTCTTTGCCTCAGTCTTTAATAGTAAGACCAGTTGTTCTCTGGGTGCCAAGCCCCTTGAGCTGGAGGACAGGGAGCAGAATGAAGCCCCCGTAATGCAGGGGGAAATGATTCGTGACCTGCTGCACTACTTAGACACACACAACTCTGTGAGCAAGAAGTGCTCACCAAGGGACTTTCAATCATCTACCGGTGCCAGGTCCTACACTAAAGTCACAACATCCCCCTGCAACACTCCACACTGGAGAAAGAGTGCTTGGAAAGCTGCCCAGCAGAAAGGGACCTCAGGGTGTTGATCAACAGCCACCTGAACATGAGCCAGCAGTGTGCCCACGTAGTCAAGAAGGCCACCAGCATCCTGGCTTGAATCAGCACTAGTGTGGCCAGCAGGACTAGGGCAGAGATCATCACCCTGTAGTGGGCACTGGGGGGGCTGCATCTCGAATCCTGGGTTCAGGCTTGGGCCCCTCACTACAAGAAGGACATGGAGGGGCTGGAGCATGTCCAGAGAAAGAGAGCAAAGCTGGTGGAGGGTCTGGAGCACAAGTCTGAGGAGCAACTGAGGGACCTGGGGTTGTTTAGCCTGGAGAAGAGGAGGTTCAGGAGAAACCTAACTCTCTACAACTTGCTGAAAGGAGCTTGTGGGAAGGTGAGGGTCAGTCTGTTCTCCCATGTGTCAAGTGCTAGGATGAGAGGGGACAGCCTCAGCTTGCACCAGGAAAGGTTTAGTTTGGACATGGGAAAATTTTATGCACCAAAAGGGTTAGCAAGCATTGGAACAGGCTACCCAGGGCAGTGGTGGAGTCCCTGTCCCTGGAGAGATTGAAAAGATGTGTAGATGTGGTGCTGAGGGACATTACTTAGTGGTGGACTAGGCAGTGTTGAGTTGATGATTTGACTTGATGTTCTTGAATGTCTTTTCCAATGTAAACATTTCTGTGATTCTACACTAACCACATAGTTCAGAGTTACTCTGCCCCACAGAATTAACAGTTTCTACTAGAAGTTAATGGAAGCAAGTGTGTTAGACTTAAAGGACAGATTTTAGGGCATACCTAACTCACAGCTTGACATAAGCTCTGCACTGCCTCCCCTGGGACTTTCTAAAAAGACAGTAACAGGAACTCTGTGTATGGTTTTTATACAGAAAATCATCCTGTAGGTTGTGTCCTTCGTATATTCATACTTTGTGCAACACCAGTGGTAATTTTTTAGTGGGACTCTTCTGTGTACTTCCCACTGGAAAAGCAGGTGCTGCAACCAGAAATCAATCTCCTTACTTCTAAAGGAGATATCAATTTGTAAATGCTCCTGCTGCATCTATCACAACTTTCCCATGTGCAACAATATTTGCATTCCTCTAAGGTGTGAGATTGGCTTAATAGCAAAAAGATGTTACAAAATAAAAATAATGGGTTGTTCTAATCAATTTTTTTTTTTCCTAGCCATTAGAATTCATGCTTTCAGGATTTTCTGCAATAATCATAAGGATTAGTTTGGGTTTGGTTTTTTTTATTTTTTTTTAATGAAAAGCTGTTTTCTCCAGACCTGAGAAGATGATGTCATGAGGGAAGTAAAATATGCCAGAAGACGCAGACTAAGATCCTGTGTGTTGGCCTCACTCTGATAATTAAGGCTGACAGGGAATACTTTGAGATAACTTCTCCTATCAGAAAATGCTCATTTGTCAAAACTGAATTTGTTTATGGTAGGGCTTGAGAGATTTCTCAGCAGAAATGTTGTAAACAGCTCTCAAAATTGCCTAGATGACAAATTCCAAAATAGCCTAGAAGAAAAAAATCCTTTTTGGTTTTCAGCTTCTTCAAGTTAAGTGTAAACTAATGATTGAAAACTGGAAAAGAAAAATTAAGGAGTCAAAACCAACATGGAAGATCTTGAGTTGAAATTGTTGTCTTGAACAGATGCAGTTTTTTAACAGTTGCTTTGTGACATATTACCAGGTTTTTATTTTCCTGCTTGAGTTAAGATAGGACAAAATTTCCAATCCTGTCTTGGAATAAATGAACAATCTCCCACCCAGCTCTGATGATAACATCAAGAAGACCAAATCTGATCCTTTAATATGCACCAAATAATTCTTTCCACTGTTTCAAAAATCTTATTTTCAGTCTTTCAAGAATACAGAGCCAAAACACATTTGTTTTAAGTTTCTTTTCTCCCAGTGCATGGAAGAAACAAGTCATGCAGTAGGTTGAGTGCTGTGACCCCAAAGCTGCTGCTCTGGCATTTCTATCTGCTGAAGCTTTCAGGCTTATTGTAGACAGGACCCACGATGAGCATGTCCTTGTCATCACAACCAAATCTGCCCAGCTTTAGACATGGGGACCCACTTTCTGTCCCTCCATCCCCACGCCAGGACCTGCTGTCCTCAGCTCAGCACCCAGGACATGAGCAAACAATAATGTTTTGGTCTCCAATGATGAGGTTTCTGAGCTCCTGTGTATAGATTGGAGGCAAGGAAGGGAGAGCAGAAGCAGGTATTTATGTTTTGAGAGGCCCATTGTTAAACATGAATATTTTAGTGATTGTACACTTCATGGTGCAGAGCTTTGCTGCCAGCTTCAGCAATCCTGATGGATTGAACTGACATTTCCATTACATGTGTCTGCGTTAAGCACTCTTTTTCTTTGCCCTCAAATGAATTTACTGTGAAATGTGTTGGCAGGGTTAGTGTAGCTGAAAAAAAACTCTGTGATGTGAAATGTACTTTTCTGTCACAAAAGTTGTCACTGCCTCTTGGCAAATTAATATTTTCCCCTCTGTTTTCTCAGCTCCACACCTTCCTCTCATGTTTTTGTGTTTGGTTTGGGTTTTTTTGGTTCTTCTGGGTATTCCAACACCTCTTCCCGAAAAGAACAAACTCCTGTTTGCAAATGTTTTGAAAGTCAGCTTCCTGAGAAGTTGCAAAAATAAAAAGCCTGCTTTGAATCTTTCCAGACATGTTACATATTTTTCTGCTGTTCAGCATCCCTGCTCTGTATCCTTTTTAACATTTGTGAAGTGTTTGGAAAATGGTTCTTGCACCAATGCCGACCTTCACTGTTTTGCTTTGTTCTCCTGACCACCTGGTCCACAATATGTATATCAAAGGTCTTCATTTCACATGAGAAGGATTTGGAAGCAGGCTGGCTTAGTGCTAAGCAAAAAAATAATCAAATGGGCCTTTTAATTTCTTTCCCTCCCTCCAACCTCTCTGTTTCAAAGACACTCCACAAACAATCTGTACATTGAGTGAACAGAAGTGTTTTTATTACAGAAATCCTCCCCCTTCCACATGGATTGTCACAAGGGCTTTTTGGACATCTGCCCAGTCTCAACATTTTGGCCTGTAAGAAAACAAGCAACAGATAGTGTGTTTGTTTGGCTCGTCCTTCTCCAGTCATCTGGAAGTGCCTTATTTGCTGCTTGCATCCGTAATTTCTTTTCCGACCAGCTCTTCAAAACGCTCATTTAGGCTCACGAGGAATGGAGAGAAAATACTCAAAGATGCATATTTGATTATTTAAATTGATCCCTTTTTAAGATTGTTTCAACAGTGTTTATTGAGTTTGTCAAAATGAAAACCAAGCCCTTACACATCCAGCTTGAAGCAGAGCAATCACCGACACAATCCCAGCTACAACCAAAAACAATTAAGAACCTGAAGACCCTAGGAGCTGATATTACTTAAATTTTACTTTTTTTTTTTTTTCTCCTCACTTTTCTTTTCCTTGTAATTGCTATTTTTGTGCTAAATGCACTCTGTATTGCTTGGGGACTGTAGCAGGTGTGTCCTTCTCTAGAGTTCAGTGAAGGCAAACAAGGTGAGATCATCAAATGCTGTGAAGTTAAGGGAGGAAGTGATGCTGATCCCAAGCAGATCTAGGAGTTAGCCAACCTCATCATTATTTCCTCCAGCAGATTAACTTTCAGCTGCCGTTCCTAATAGCTGTGCAATCAAAAATCAGGGAAGACATTATAGTGTATACTGTCAAGTCAATGCAGGAATGATGTTTGGACTAGCTGACCTTTAAAGGTTCCTTCCAACCCAAACTATTCTATGATGTCCCAAATGGGTGGGTTTTCCATGGTGTCCCCTTTAGTGCCAGTTTTCCCATTTTGCATAGGACAATACTTTGTCACTTGTAGCCAACAGTTCTCTCACTATCTGTGGACATCGGAGGGGTTTGTGAAAAGTATCCAAGCAAAGTAGTCTTGTATCTGTATGCTTATTTTCACTATGATGTACCTTGGAGGCTGATTTTAAATGTCACTATAAAAGATGGCATGTGACGTTATACTGATGACTCAAACTACACCTTCTTATGAGAAATGCCAAGAAACTCAGGACTGAGGTGGAAATGCTATGGAAAAAGCAAAGTATATGTCCAGTCTTTTCCATGAGCATGTGCTAAATGACCATGCTGTTCATCTAGGTTATGCCAGTATTCTGGCTCATATAGCTATAAATCTAGCCTTCATCCTGGAGGTCCTTTGAGGGTCCTCAGGAAGAGAAGTATTGTGGCTGAGATGTTCAGAGCTGACTGTAGGACTGGACAACTCTTCTAATTTGGCTGGAGCATCTCAGCCTCCATTAATGTATTGTTCCTGTGCTTCTCCTGAATACCTTAGACCAATGCCTGATTCCTGCTGATGAAGGGCAGACGTGGAGTTGGCATTGGTTTGGGCCATTTGGTCACTGCCAACACTTCTGTTTCAGAGCTAGGAAAGTGCAGAATTGAACTGTAGTTAGAGGTGGAACACCCAGCTTTGGCACAGGAAGTAGATGCTCATCATTTTAGCCAGGCTGCTACAGTTGCAGGCAACACAGGGGCCTCCTCTGTGCTGTTCTCCTGGGCAACACTGCTTTAGAGATCAGATAACCTGATTTATGCTTCTCTTCCCTTCTAGATGTCAACAGCTGGCTGCTCACCTTCGGGTTCCAGCTGCATAACGTCATCCCCGGCTACCCCAAGCCAGACATGGATGCAATGGAGCCATCCTATGAGCTAATCCACACACAGATGAAAACCCAAGAATGGGACAACAGCAAGGTGATCCATGCCGCTCCATACTGTATCTCACACCCTGATCAGCACACTATCCATTTGCAATCTTTATTAGAAAAAACCTCTATCAGCGTGTTCTTTCAAATACACTGGGAGATTAAGAATGAGTCACTCTCCATTGCAGTAATGAAATCTGACTGAATTATCACATCTTAAGTTGCTTACTGCCATGGTGCTTATTTCCTGTGGTGTTTTCTGGTGGTTGATCAATGAAATGGTCTGTTACTGGTTCTCCCACAGGAGGCCCATGTTATTTCATACTGCAAGATAAATTCAAGGCCTTTGCACTAAGGATTCTTGGAAGTCAAAAAAAGAAAAAAAGCAAATCTTGATACAAAATCAATTTCTACAGACTTTTTTTTTCTAGAAACATATTCAATCTCATTTAAAATGCCTTAAACAACAAATCCCAGTACTTCCATAGGAAACGATCCTTCATTGCAGTGGCTCTCCCCAGAAAGAACTTTTAGATGACAGTTAACACTCATTTTACCTGGCTGGTTTTTTATCCCAAGTCACCGTGTCCTGCTTTTAGAAACAGGCTGATATCACAAGCCATTTTGGTAGATACTGGCACAAAATTCAATTATAAAATTGGCAAGAAAAAGGCTTTTACAGCCAAATAATTTCCCTTTCTCTTCCTGTTGGGAATGATTCAGCTGAAGGATGGAGGCAGCACTGTTAAAGGTTAGCACACTGGGTCAGGATCGGAGAGCCCTGGGTTACTCCCAGACCTACTGCTTCTCTTTTGTATGACCTTGGAAAAGTCATTTACCTCTCAGGATGCTCTTTCATCTCGTAGCCTGATTTTATTCTGGGGTTGCTTTAATCTCTTTAGTCTGAATCCTCTTTAGTTTGAATTCTGCTCCCTATTGCTGTGTATTCAAAATGATAACAGTAGGAAATGGAATTGATTCCAGCTGCCCTTTTAGCCTCTTTATCTATGAGTTCACTGAGATCTCACTGTCCTGCAGCAGATTGTTGGAGTCCTGTACATATATTAAACCAGGAGGTAAAATACAGTGTCACATTTCTAGAACCACAAAACATATCACTCAGAGGTATAAACATGATATTGTGGATTAATAAAATAGTTGTGTGTCAGCCCATCCTTGGTACTCAGCCTCGTAGCTATGGTGAAGACAAGCTAAAATGTACCAGCTTCAACTTCAATGAGAGATTTCTATTAAGACATATCATTTTATAGCAGAGGGGGACCAAAAGAACTATGCCTTTTGCTACCATGGCTGCGTTGATGCTTGAAAACCATTATGCCATAATAACTTGGTTGTGTTTTGGATCACAGAGACTCCTTTTTTTTGTTTCTCACTTCCTTGGGTTAAACAACAGAATGCTGGTAGAGATGATTTCTGTAATGAGAAATAGCCTCAGGATTTTTTCTGCTCTCTGATGTGACACAGTGTCCCCAGGCAAAGCTGTACAGGGGAAGGCAAACAGGGAAGGCTCCTTCAGAGACTGCACAAAAGATTGTCTCTGAATTCTTATGAGCAGTAGGTAATAACTCTCACCACAGTAGAAATTATTATTATTGGTGTTGTTATGATTATATCCTTTTTTTATCATTAATTAGTTGTTATTATTAGACTTACTGAATAGCCAAGTAACTTGAGTGACAGCTTGAGATGAAGACTGACACTTGCTTATACATGCAGCTGAGCTGGAATTAAAACCAAGGACCCCCCCTTTCCATCCACTCATTTTAAGTAAATCTGCCTGAATGAGCAATAAGAATAAAAGAAAATCTCCATGTCCCCTTCAGGTTTTTAAAGCAAGAAGCTGCAATGAGGACTGTTTGGTCCTCAAATTTACCTGCTTGGTAAAAGAGGGCTTCATGCAGCCATCGTGCTTCCTGATGAGTCACTTCACACTCAAGTGTTCGAAGTGGAATTTCACCCTTGCAGCCTGTTTCCTATTCTTCCCCTGTGTTATGACAGCAAAAACATGAGCACCTTTATTCCAGTCTATAGCTGCAGGATCATGCTGTGATAGCGAGTGGCTCTCAAATGCTGCAGAGCAGGATTCCCTTCCTTTCTGTCACATCCAGCATATTGTAGGCATATATTAGCATAAAATAAAGTCATTCACATGTAATGCCTGAACACATGATCCATTTTCTCCTAAGCCTATCCATGCATCCAACACTGATGTTTCACGTGTAGTTCTGCTTGCTCCCAACCCTTCCAGGCTCACCTACATGCTCCCAGACACAACCCATCTCTCCCTCCTCCTAGTTGTTTCTGTATTGATAAAGTGTGTGGAAGAAAATGTAAACTTTTCAAAATTTCACATAACAAATGGCAGAATTGAACAGTTAAATGAAAGCATGGGAAATACTTTCAGATAATAAGACTGATCAATCTGTGAAATGATCTTACAGAGCATATGGAGTAAGCTCCAAATCTTTTACCATTGAAAAGGTGCCTGAACAAGGCACTGGACAATGCCCATCCTGCCTGCAACCCAGGGATATTCACTAATTGATGTACCACAGCTTTCTCATGTCTGTGTCTTCCAATCCCTGGTTTCTCTGGGTCATACCTCCTTGCAAGAGTCCAATCTGAGTTAGTCCGCTGGCTTCCCTATCAAAGATGTGGCCCAGCAGACTGAGCCAGTTCTTTTATCAGAAAGGAATGAGTAACAGGAGCATGACAGCAAAGGAACTAGCTCCACATAAACGACTGCTTCGTCTCTCTTCAGAGTGCATAACCAGAGGGCCTGAGCATCTCCTTCCAAAATATTGATGGTACTTGTGGGGCAGAGCTGGAAGATGGGAGAGATAATTCTGACTTTGAGCATCCAGCAGCTCAGAAACAGCCAGCGTGTCATAAACCTTGCACTAACCCCCTGCAGCTCTGGAGTGACATTTAAAATCCAATACTCTGGCATGCAGCACTTTCCCCCCTCCTCCCTGTGACCATGAGGCTGTCACTAAATTGTTTGTTGAACAAGTTCAGTGCTATTGTCCACCAAGGGACTCGAGGTGACCCCTGGCATATTGTGGAGCTGCACCTGAATCCAATTTCTCTCTCTCTTTTTTTTTTTTTTTTTTAGTGGTTTCTTTTTGGAAAACAGTAGCTTAGTTGTCTTGTTGAACTGTCAGGTAATTGTGGGAGCCAGAACAACTCTATTTGCAGGGAGGGTTGTTTTGGAGTCGGTGCTTATATTGTTAGCTCCATGGTATTATTAACTACCCTTGTCTCCATCCCATGAGCAGGAAGGGTCCTGTTTTCTGCAGTGCCCATTACAGGCTGTGCTGGAGGAACAGCTTTTGGCATCTTTTATGAAGCAGCATTTTGGAGACAAGGGCTGCTCTGGGATGCTCAGCCAGGGAGTGAGCTGTAGGGCTGTGCTTTCTGGCACAGCCTCTCCCAAGGACAATCTGTTTGAGTGACTGGCTCTGCCAGTGTTCATCATTCAAGGAGAGCATCCTGTCATGGCGGATGGTTTGTCCTGGGTTCAGGCCATCCTGCTGTCTGCAGGTCTGTCCATCAGCCCCTAGTTATGCTTTGCAAAAGCAGTGGCCAATTTTCACTGGATCTCATGCGGGGAAAGGAGTTGGAGTCTCAAAGACATTAATCTCTTGAAGCTTTATGAAAATAGACGAGCAAAAGAAGGAGGCAAATCCTCTTATTTCCCCACAGATGGCAATCTGCTTAATGAGCTCAACTTTGTTATCCCCCTGCAGCTGAGTACACTGGCAGGGTGGAGGAGAGACCTGCCCTCTAAGCCCAAGAGCTGTCAGTGGTGTTTCAGTCACTGCTAACCAATCACCATGTACAGCCTTGCTGACCAATTGTTCACCTCTGTTGTCCCACTTGCATTCCTAGCTGGCAGGCTGCTAAGCAGGCACATTGCCTGTCAGCCAACCAGAGTTCAGTGCATCCATGCTGATGGGCAGGTGCCTCGTAGGACTTGTGGTTGATGGGCTCCTCTTGCACCTCCACCAGCTGGGAGCAGGTGAGGGACATCTGAATGGGGACTCATCTTCCAATGATGGCCAAGTGGAATGGAGGGAAGAGGCTGATTTCTGAAGAGTGGTTTTGTTAACAAAGAGCTAAGGGGTAAATAGGAAGGAGTTAAGGGTAAAGAACATTTCAGAAAAGTCATAACTTCCAAGCCTTTTGGGAGAAGTGGCTTTCTGCACTGTAAGCCATATGATGGTAAAAGAAACACCTATCTGTGTATAATGGCACAAGGATATAGAGAAACTTGGAAACGTGATCACAAATTTCACATCTTGGATCCTTGTTGGGAAATTAAAGCTTTCAGTCTCACACTGGAAGGCGGTATTTAAAAACAACAGATGATAGTATCTGGCTATGGTATTTCGAATCCTCAAGAGGTGCTGGCAAAATGCAAGAGGCTATTCCGAGATCTCTGTAATGTGCTTTTCTCTTGAGCTCTGTGCAGCAGTGAACAAATGATGAAGGTCATTCTCTTCTCTCCAATGGGTTGTTGCTAGATAAAGTGAAATGTCACTTAAGGACATCTGATTAAAAAAGACTGCGAGGAAAAACAAACCCAGCAGATTTGTCACTCACATCTAGCAATAAATATTGAAATAAAATAACTGAAATCCCTTCTTTTTTCTGTAAAACTGGTTTTAGATATACCATTTTTTAAAGTTGGTAAATGAAATAGCGTTTTTTATAGAAAATCACACGCCACTGCAGCCTTGGATGGAAATTTTCTGTTTCTCTTCTTTGCCAGTTCATTAAAATGAGTTCTAAGATGAAACAGAAATGGTAATTTCAAAGTCAGGGGTACACTGCCTCTTTGAACTACATATAATCTCTTTGCCTCCACCCCCTTTATATTCACAGCAGAGCATACAAACTAGCTGTACTCTGACTTGCCTGAATTTGTTGGTTTTTTTGTTGTTTTGTTTTGTTTTTTTCCTGTCGAATGTGTTTGCTTTTCCTTTTAAAAAGTTCTGTTCCCAAATACACTCTTTCATCAAAGAAATGCACTCCAAAAGTAATTTCAAAGTCATCCTGGGCTCATTTTCAAGATAAAAGAGATGTGTTTAGTTATGTAATAGGTAAGTCATGTCAGTGTTCAGCATTACAACTTTGCGCATGTCTATCTCCTGCTTCCCTACGTGACAAAAGACAGGGAGAGCCTAGAACAGTGGAAACACCTTTGGGTGTGTTTTTGTTCTTAAGACACCTAAATTTAGGTCTCTGCATGTGAATTTGGCATCCACGCTTCTGTTATAGCCAGCAGAGATCTACAATGAACTTGGTTGCTGGTGCCCTTTGGGATGCCCTAGAGTTTCCTGTACTTCTCCATGCCTACAGCATGGATTACCTGCACCCTCTTAGAGCAACAACTAGTGGCCCAGCAGGACTCCCCGTAGTGTTAGAAATTACTTTCAACACTACCCATTTGGGTGACTTGTCAGTGGAGCCCAAAGGACAGTTCAGATGATCAGCTGCTAGGAGATAGGACTGAATTCAAGACTAAGATGTGTAGACGTAGGTGTCTCCATGTGTGCTAGATGTGTGCATCCACTGTCGTCTGTTAACATCTAGTTTATCCTGGCAGTTGAGCTCACTTAAAGGGCTGTCCACCTGCTAGGTGTTAATTTTGGACCAAGCTGAGTATACTGTAGGCTCCATTGGCTGGGCAAACTAGAGGTTTGATTCAGTTGCCCATCCAGGGACCAGGTAAGCAAAGTGGCCTCCACGTGCTAATCCAGAAGGGCACATATCTCCCAGAGATTCTTTGGTTTCTCACCACCCTGTGCAGATGTTGAAGGCATTGTGGGGCATCTCAGATCACACTAGACATCTGTGTGTGGGCAACTGAAACAGTCCTCCAGCCAACACTGACTACAGTGTGCACAGAAGCAGCTACACAGATTGCCACAGACTGACAGGTAACTGCTCAGTTTCTTTGCCAGTGAAGGTGGTTCAAGCCCCCAAATCCACAAACCTGCAGTGTCTCTAAGTCGTCTCACAACTGAAGGTCAAGAGATTCCTAATTCTGTGGCTTTGATCGGACATTTTATCTGTTTCAGCCACAAAGAGCAATGCCAGTGGCAGCCCTGGAGCTGCACAGGCAACATGAGAAATGCTTTCCCAGTATAGAGGAGGAGATGTCCTGGATGGAGACCAAGAGGACACCAACAATGCAGTTGGCCTGCTAACTTATGTGGGTGTCCTGAGGCAGGAAATGACAGTGCCATTGCTGTTAAATCATGTGTAATTCCCTAAACCTCCATGTCCTGCCAGTAGGAGGGTGGGTGCTGCTCATTTTCTTTCTAAATGACATCCAGATGAACAGTGGAGCTGTGGAAATTGTCTGACTTCTTATAATATCATGAAGGCAGTATGCAACTAGATCAGGGAAAGGTCCAGTATTATATTGTTGGGTCATAAATTGCAATTACTAATCTGAAATTCAAAGCTGTGGAGAATTTGACCATAAAATGGAAAACTGAAAACTACCTTAGGCCAGAAGGTCTCAGGTGCAGGGTTATGGAGCTTGAGGAAGGTAGATTATGGTTAAAATAAATATTATCCAGTGTGAATGATGAGGGGCAGTAAAACTTCTCACTCTTTTTAGCAGTACTTACTTCTAAATTTTATGTAATTATATTATTTATAAAATATTTCTTTTGTATTTAGCGGTATAAGCATATGGATACAAACCATATGTCCTGCTTCTCCAAAGTACAGTAGATTGTCATATCACAGTGTCTCTCTTGCAGCATCAGCAGGTTTTTAGAGCTCGTTGCAAACTCAATTTGCATTCGGGATCAGAAGAAAAGACAAGGGAGTGGTGTTCAGCCCCACTGGTTTGTTGGGGCAACCAAATTTGGGGGCACTCAGAGGATATCTATACCAAATAATTGCCCAGCATTGAAAAGGTGCTAGATTTCCTGCAGCTCATCAAGAATAAAGCAAAAAAGACAAAACAGAAGAGGAATAGGGGAAATTTCTGTTAGGAATAATTCTGCCATGCCCAGTGCTGTCCGATCTCCCAGAGCTCCCTTCCCCAAGGTGATAATCAGTAGTTGGTAATTCCAGGAACTCCTTATCACTCAGCTGCTGGTAAACATGGTGATGTATATTTAGATGGGGCTATATAAGTGACCACAACACCTAGTAGTGTAGTGCAGGAGACCTGATTTACATCCTTGAGTGAAGGAGCTGAGACAAAGCAGTGTTTCAGTGTGAGTAATGAGAAATGTCTTTTCCCGTCACTTGTAGAAGTTCCTGAGAAGAATAGGAAGAGCAATGTGACATTGACTAGTGGGACCACCTAGAGTCAATCCATCTGAGATGCACCTAGGAAGAATATCTCCCCATTTAAACCTCTTTGAAGAGGAAATAGCTAACTAAGGCTATGCAGTATACAGTTATTTAGAACAGTAGGTGTCTCATGGTGCTGAGAAACCTAATTGCTCCATGTCCATCATTAGTGACATCTACATTAATTACATTCATTTTTTTCATAATTAGAGCACTTGTGCAGTTGGCAGGGGAGCTGGGTTGGGCTCCTTGTGAGTCTGTTAATTATATCACTCTCTAGGCTGGGTGCAAGAGCCCCCACAGGCAGTATGGAGAGAAGCAGAAAGAGCTCCTCGTTCATAGGTGACTGGTTCCTGCTCCAGCTGATATGCTGTTCATCAAAAGGGGAAAAGGAGAAGCATCCCCATCCTGCTTGGCACTTTGAATAAAAGTCAGTCCTGGGTATTTTAATGCTTTACAACTCAAAACACGCTCTTGAGCTTGTGTACCTCTTAGAGTTTTCTCCTTTACAGATCAAAACTGCTTATAGTATCAGGAGGAGTTGCAATGCTAAATCCTTTATTTTATTTATTTACTGCTTTGAAACCCTTCCCTGGAAATAGCCACCATGGAAATGAGGGTTTATTTCCCTTCCCTCACCATGTTATGAGTCTTAGTGAAGAGGACCATGCTTAAATGCCTACATCATCTGAATTTTCTTCTCGCACCCAGGGGACGACTGGAGCCTTTAGCTTGGGAACAGCTTAAGGCAATATCCTTCATAGGTGTTAAATTTTCTCAAAATAATTGGAGTGCAGCAAACTTTTCTTTGTAGCCTATTTTTAATCCTGGATGTCATTACATTATTGAACTGAGCCATTGGCAGTGCCAGGAGAGTTTTGTCGTAGCATATTCTTGCTTTTGTGAAATTTGAGCAAATAAATTGTTCAGGAACAGGGGTCTGTAAGAAGCCTGCACTGCCATGAATTGATGAGAGCATTTCCAAAGACATTTTGCAGCAATGATGAGCTGCTGACTGGCTGTGTGCTTGCTCCGTTATATGCTAACAGCAAAAGTGACTTTGTATTGTACCTGACTGCCAATGATCCAGGCTGTTGTCTCTCAGCGGTTTCACTTCACTATAAGGCAAAACTCGAGCATCAGGTGTGGCTGGCCGTAGCTCAGGGAGCCTGGCACACTGTAGAGGGTTTGCAGGAAAAAGGAGTTGGATTTAGGGTCTTTCTTGAGTTTTGAAATACCTACTTTGGTCAGGATGAAATGGGATATAGATGGGTTATGGCTCCTTTGAGGGTCATACCTGTGACGTGGGGCTTTTGAAGGGAGCACAAGGAGTTACAAAGTGAAGTTAAACTAGAGGAAACTTTTGCAAATACTTCCATACGTTTTCACAGAAAATCTGTAAGCAGTTTGTAACGCATCATGGCCGCAGGATGAATGATTTATGTGCAGGTGAAGAACACTGAATCACAAAATAATTGCATGCCCAGACTAGGCCCTCACACCACTGAGGCAAAAACTCCTTTTCTACCTCTACATCCTTCAATATGTGAGAATAAATACAGTTCCATTTATTCAAACAGTAAGCATTAGGGCAAATAACTTGACAATATGTCTTTATTAAAAAGAATTAAAAATCTGAAAAAGTGATATGGAAGAAAGAAAAAAAAGACTTCTTCATTAGAGGTTTCCATGATGTTCTGCTGTCTCCAGCATGCTGAGATCATGTTTTATGTCATCAGCCTCCTCTTTCTAATATGTCTTTCTCTTCTTTCTCTCCCTGCTCAGTCAATTTTGGGGGTCCAATGTGAGGTGCAGAAGCAGCTGAAGGCCTTTGTCACTCTTGAGCGCTTCGAACGGATCTACAGCTCCAGCATTGCTGGGTGCCGGCAGGTCAAGAAGAACAAGAACTTTGCCTCTGGGGGCTCTATCTTCGGCAAAGGTGTCAAGTTTGCCATGAAGGACGGACGCGTGGCCACTGACATTATCAGCGTGGCCAACGAGGACGGGCGGAGGATCGCGGCCATCCTGAACAACGCCCATTACCTGGAGAACTTGCACTTCACCATCGACGGCGTGGACACGCACTATTTCATCAAGCAGGGGCCGTCCGAGGGCGACCTGTCCATCTTGGGCCTCAGCGGCGGGCGGAGGACCCTGGAGAACGGCGTGAACGTGACAGTGTCCCAGATCAACACAGTGTTAAGTGGAAGGACTAGACGTTACACGGACATCCAGCTCCAGTACGGCGCGCTGTGTCTAAACACCCGCTACGGGACCACCTTGGACGAGGAGAAGACCCGCGTCCTGGAGCTGGCCCGACAGCGCGCCGTCGCCCAGGCTTGGTCCCGGGAGCAGCAGAGACTGCGGGATGGGGAGGAGGGTGTTCGCTCGTGGACAGAAGGGGAGAAGCAGCAAGTGCTAAACACGGGCCGGGTACAGGGCTACGACGGCTATTTTGTGATCTCAGTGGAGCAGTACCCCGAACTCTCAGACAGCGCCAACAACATCCACTTCATGAGACAGAGCGAAATGGGCAGAAGGTGACAGAGAGGGTCCACGCGGTGACTTCTTGCCAAAGACAGCTACTCTTTTGTGGCCACTTACCTGACTGTGTTGTACTCAACCCTTTTTCTAAACTGAACAAGGCAGGGGGGAGGAAAATAGAAAGAGAAGGAAAAATACGGTTGCACTGTAACTCATGCAACATACCTTTTTTTTTTCCCCTCTTTAATTTGGCCTTCACGCGTTTTTTGCAATGAACAGAAGGTATATTTTGCCGTAGTGTGATCACAGTGAAATTTGCTGTCTCTTGTCCTTTTTTTTGGGTTTGTTTTGCTTTCCCCTCCCCTTTGTGAGGAATTTGAAGTGAGGAGTCATCAACGTACATACGTCCTTAGGTGTGAAGTGCAAAATGGGTGTCTGTGCTAACTTGTGTCATCCTAACCCTTTCTGATTTGGGGCGGGGACAGGTAGCCTTCCACCCGAAACACGGGGACCCCGCAGTGTGCTGGAGAGCTCTTCCCAGGAAGAAAGGAGATGGGAAAGGACGCTGATTTCGAAACTCCAGAAGCGACCGTCTGAATCATGTGCCTCAAAAGAGACCTTTCAAGTAGTTTTTCACATTTCACTTGGGACATAAAGTGGTTTTTTGGGGGCTCCTGCTGAGCAGAAGTAGATTATAGAGGCAAAGGAGCTGATTATATTAACTTGCAAGATGATTCTCTTCCTTCCTGAACTGGAATAAAAAAAGAAAAAAAAAACGTCTTTTTTCATTATGAGAGTAGATACTTTTGGGGTTTTTTTTTTGTGTGTGTGCAAATCCTGGTTTTAGTTTAAAAACTTAGCAAAAGCCAAGAAAGGGACTCCTGCTCTATTGAGAAAAGCTAAAATAAATCCTCTCTCTCTCATACGTAGAGCTGTTCTATAGGTGGATTTAATGCACCCATGTTGTACATTTGCTAATGGCATAACTTCATTAAATGTATAGTGTTTCAGTACACGAGGCTACGTGTTTAACAGTCCACTGTGCTGTATCTGATAAAAACAGTTAATTTTTAGGAAGCTGATTTGAATTTAAAAGTAGTTATAGTATCCCAGTGACATACCACTGAAAATTAGAGCGAGCCAAGCCCTGCTTTTCTTGATTCTGGAGCTTGTATTTATTGGCTGGGAAATGCAGTTTTGAGTAGCATGCTGGCAAGTCGTTTATGACTATGGCAGATAAATACCTCCTGGGGACTTTGGCAGCAGGGATTTTAAAATGTTTAATAAGTAGCAACAGCTTGTGTGTGGTGGGACAAAGGAGGAGAATATTGGAATCAACCCTCTCACTGTTTCTTACACAAGCTCGAATTAAATGGAGAGCCCAAGCTGACTGTTAGCAGTGAAGAAGGCAGAGGTTGAATGGAAGTGCCCACCACAGAGGGGACCAAGTGCTTTAATAAGAAACTGCTGACAAAGTTCCTCGGCATGCTAATGTAATTTGTATTCACATAACCTCTGTGCTCTGGTATTTCCAAGAGTCCTTGAAATTCAAGGGAGCAGGAAGCTGAGTTTAGCATCCTCTTCCCCTGCCTGGAACAGCCCTGCGGTAGCAAGGGCCATTCCTGCAGGCAGAGGTCTTGCCTCACCTCTTGCTGGAGCTCCAGCTGGACATGGCCAACCCTGGTCCCAGCCAGACCTCCCGATCACACTGACCCCTGCACAAATCCTGACTCGAAGAGCTCTCACCAAGTCTCTCTGGGAACATCTCAGTCCTGACTCTTTTTTATTCCATCCACTTTGTTTTTTGCTTCCTGGTTCTGCAGAGAGACAACCCGGGATGTGCAGATCCACACTGGGGCTGATTCCTTACAACGCACCCATGCCCCCGAGCCAGGCCCCGTGTGCTCGTGCCTCCACTGCTGGCATCCTCCAGCACAGGCTGGGACCCCTCTGCGGCCTCCAGTCCCCAGGATGAGGTGGGGCTGTGCGTTGGGCACGCAGTCCTCGAGCAGAGGGACGCTGGCAGCCCCGTGCTGCTGCGGTTTCCCTGTCGGCGCTGGCTGCCAGCTCCGTCTGCCTGTCCCCGGGTGCTTGCCAGGAGGAAGGTGATGGGATGGAAGTTCCCCCAACAGACTGTCCCTCCTCCAATTCCCAATCCCCAATACTTTTGGCTGTGCGGCCAGAGTTTTGGCAGCTGCAGAGCCCCAGGGCTGACCCACATTGGGGCCACCCACCGCTATGGTCCTGATTTTCCCGCAGTCTCTCCTGCTTGCAGCAAGGGTGACATTGCTGATGCTGGAACCCAGGGCTGTACTTGGAACCACTCCTTGCAGCATGGAACCTTTATGACTTTGGCAGGAGTGACTCGCAGGCAGCTGGGCTAGAAAGGGTATCCAGCTCCAGTAGAGCTGGCTGGGAGGAGATGCATTGGCTGGGCCAGCTCTAGGTTTTGGCAAGGGAGAAGTTGCTTCGAGCAGCTGCCTGCCAGAGATGGTTAAAAGGCCATGGCATTACCTCCTGCCTTGCTGTTATCAAACTCTTGGCAAGCTTCAGTTGCCCTGAGGGTGCACTGGCAGGGATTGGGGTGGTATCAGCCAAACCAGCAGTTGCCACCTACTAGAAGGAGGCAACACCTTCTTCCCAGGGCTACACAGCTGCCTGCTTCCCCCTCCCCGAGTCACGCCAGGGACAAATCCCTCCCAGAACCTCAAATTTGTGATAGCCTTGAGTGTCTAAAACAGCATACACAGAGCAAAAAGAGACCTGTGAGGTGCTGGGTCAAAAGGCATAAACCCCTGGTGAAGATCTGCAGTGCAGAGAGAGCTTGATGCGCATCCCATTTACACTGCTTGCCTCCCAGCAGCTCCAAAAGGGAAGTGATGCTTCTATATCCATCCCCGTCTATGAGTTACAATGCTAAGAGGAGCAGTGCAAGAGTAAATGGGCCACCTTTCCACACAGCCAAGGAAAAAGATTCAAGAGTGAAATATTCCTGCT